AAGGTCACGTATTGTAAGGTTGTGCGTTTACATTTTTTTGATGGATGTGAGCTTACATCAGGAGTGTTTCGGTTTGGAATATACAGAGGTGAAGGGAAACTATAGTGGCGAAAATGTGTAGGTACACGTTGACCTTTGGGCTATTTTTGCCCTTCTGGTAGCTACTTCGGGGCAACCTTATAACCCCAAATTAACGTGGACAGTCCCCCTAAAATATTAAAGCCACTGTTCGAGTTTTGGGTTTTCTGAATATTAATAATAGTAGTAATTGTATTTTGAATATTGATGACAGTAATCATTCAACGCAATCGACACAATTTTAATTAAATCGGCTTTTTAATCCTTGCCAATAAGTTCAAGAGTTATGTACAAATCATCCACTCTCAATATCATTATCAACAACATCGACATTATCATCGCTGTATCATAATTATACCGGTTTGATATTTACTCAAAATGTAAATCAAGCGATTAACAAAATGTATACGGTTTAACAGATTAGCCGATACAAATGTACCGTTAACGCTGGCAGAGGAAAATCAAAGAAAAACCAAAGAATTTGACAATTAAAACCAAAACAACGGCCTAACTTATTTCTTTAGATGCTTCTTACAGTTAAATCAAATTTAATGCAAATCATAAATGTTGTTTTATGTATGAACCATCTCCTTTCACCTTATAATATTATTTCCATTAATAACAAGCACTGATTAAACCGGATTTGCCCCACAGTGCCCAGCAATTTGTGTATAGACGGTTAATACAAGAAATAGTGATAACAAGGGCGACGATGTTGTTGATGACGATGAAGTAAACAAAGGATCTCGCCAACTACAATAAGTATTAAAATACTTAAATAAATATTAACTAAATAATAAGTTTTAACTACATAACAAGAACTGCATAATAATCATGCAAATAACAAGAGTTTGAAGTATTAAAATATATATAAAGAGATCAGTGGGTACGGCCGCGCCGCGCGTCCCGGCAAAATTGCAGTCAGGCAAGATGGCGTCGGTCGCTCGTACCCCCTGCTCTGCAAACAGGACGCTGGGATACTCTGATGAAATCGAACTCTGACTGGTTGTATTTTGCGTGACCTGTGACCTGCGTGTCATCACGGTCATGACTCTACAAAGTTTGAAACGGCCGTTAAGACTGATTCATTACTCTTTTATTCCAGTTTTACAAGAGATATTTTTTCGTTAAAAAGCGTAATAACGCAGAAAATTCTGTAAAACTTATCTGTGTTGTAAATTTAAAATTCCCGTGACTTGCTCAGGCTCCGTTTCGAATAACGAACGGTCGGATTGCATTATGCGACGCTCAAAATTGTGTCCACATGGTCCGCAATGAAACAGAAATCACATCTGGTATAGATTGTGGGCATTTCTATAGGAAAGTTTTCGGATAGCATTTGCGCACATTGACTAACTGGGGTCTTGAACAGCTGCAGCCAGATACTTTATACATAGTTCATATGCCACTTCCTTCATAAAATTCTGTGAAGCTCATCAGAGTATCCCAGCGTCCTGTTTGCAGGGCGGGGGGTACGAGCAAAGGTCACCCCTAATTGTGCTTTCTCTGCCGGTGAGGGGGTACTTGTGAACGGAGCGGATACAGACTCGACCCATGTGTCACTGTTTCGTGGTTGTTTCACGTTCGTGCACGTCGGTGCATAGGTTCGGGTTCATTTTCTAGACCAATCCAGGCACGTGATCAGTGTACACTCGCAAGGTCCTCTTCAACGGAGAAACCATTATGCACGCTATTGTAAAAAGCAACTGTCCCGTGACGGATTTTCAGAATTACAATATCTAGCACAATGCTCTTGCCATTGAAGGGGGCCTTCGTGATAGAACTGTTAGCGTGCCCTGGTTGATCTTCGATAATTGTTTCTGTATTGAAAAATTATGGATATTCAGATAATAAATCATGCAGGAGTATATGAGTTAGATTTAATACTAAACTTGACCTGCGTCTAATAAAGGTCCAAGTTGTCTCAGGGAAAAACGAATTGGATCTACTTTAAGCATCACTAAGTCGATAAAGCAATTTAGAAACTGGACACATTATTTTATCTTTTTTCAAAACCTGCGGTTACTTCTTAGGCCCAAAAACGTCTCCAGTGTCTGGTCTGGGCGCGCACCGCCTCAGCAATGCGCGTCGGTAAAATATATATATTTTCTTCGAAACCGCCCAACTCACTGGTTTGACGGAATCCTGCTGTTTCACAATTTTAACGTGTTTTTAGATGGGGTTACCATCGGGTATAATCTTTGTGGCCTCTCTGGGCTCCCATATATTTTGCACTATTAAGTTGGGCACCATTTGCAGACAGTGTTGTAATTTTGTAGTTGTTCTTCTGGATACTAGACTGAGGGAGCGATGATTGTGTATCTGGTACATGTTTCACCGCTTTTTCATTAGCGCAATATGTAAGGGAGCAGACTGATTACAAGTCTGGCAGCACATGCACGATGTCGATGTCGCTGTATTGTCTGACGTAATACCGGTTTCTCTGATTATTGTCTTGACTATCCAAATATCTGGAAGAATGTTCGTGTCGGTCGAAGTGGGTGCAGAATTCTAAAGCCTTACTGAGGTCACCTCAAGCTCCACCCTGAACGATATTTTTGAGCGTTTTAAGGAGATCGAAGCGTCATCTGCAACATGATCAGCCGACATTTTAAAGAAAAAAAATGTGGGATAAAACCCCGTCGTCGGACCACTTTTGTGGCAAGCTCCATACCAGAAACTGAAGACTTTTTTTGGCCTTAACTAAGTCTTAGAAATACGGGGTCCGCTCATAAGTCCGACGCCTCATAGGTCCGACGCCTCATAGCTTCGACGCCTCGTAGGTCCGACAAATTAAACGCCTTGTTTTTTCCGTTGTCAAATTATGAGGCGTCGGACCTATGGGGCGGAATATAAATACATTTTATGCCTCATAAATCCGACGCCTCATAAGTCCGAAGTTTCGGACTTATGAGGCGTCGGACCTATGAGGCGTCGGATTTATGATACGGCCCCAGAAATACAGTGCAGTTCAATGTGCAGATTTAAGAAAAGCGGAATATATACTCGTATCTAGTGTTTTTAAGGATAAAGTGACATTTGTATAAAAACCTTTACTATAAGCATGCAACTTTACGCCTTCGTTTGAACTGTGTACTACATCAAACCAAACTACAAACCACGACCGAAATTTTTCACAAATTACGATTTTTGTAAGGCAGATTTGTATTACTAGTGATTATCTTGAGCGAAACAGATTTGTTGACGTGTACAACTATTTCGGGCAAGTGTTTTTCCCAGTAATGTACAGCACTTCTCAATAACTAGTCAGCAGACCATTATTCTCTCGTGTACGTAATATTTTACGGTGAACTTTCATTTTGTAAAAGAAATGGCTAAAGATATCGCTAAAATTAATTATATAATGCGAGTCAAACTTGAATGGGTATTGAACTTGAATGGGTATTGAACTTGAATGGGTATTGTCTCGTGTTTCGCCGACATACGCGGGGACATTATAAACGATGATGTAACAGTCGTGTTTAACGATATTTGTTATCCCTCAAATTCTGACATGATAATTGTCAGAAGAATGGAATGCCAGACGTAGAATGTGTAACCGACATAAGTAATATAGGTTTGGTTTAACAGATACACCTTTCCACATTGAAATGAGACACCAAACGTCCAAATCTGATCATGTTTTACAGAGTTATATGTAATTTCCCAAGAGTGGTCAAATTGACTAAGGGATCAAGTTTTCAATATTAGGCATTGGGACAAAGGTAGCCTTATAGCCTCTGTGTGGATAATTGCCTGGGCTACAAAACATGTATTGAGCGAGTAATCACAATTTTAAACACTTTCTTGCTATCAGTTTGTAAACATGTTTACATTCTAAACATGTTAGCATGAGAGACGATGTCGCCTGTGTATCGAGCGAGAGGGAGGACATGTTGAGGAGGAAGGGATGTCATCATGAAAACTTCGTCCCATTATCAATTTGAACTCTCTTGGGAAATTATACATAACTCGGTCGAAAATATCAGATTTGAACGTTTGGTGTCTCATTTTAAAGTGGAAAGGTGTATATTATCGATGTCTGTACTTTACTCGAATGTCAAAGTACTCGCACACGAAATGACGGTACTCGTACTCGGGCAGCAAACTACTCGCACTCGAAACGGGTACTCGTACTCGGGCAGCAAAGTAATCGTACTCGAATAGCAGTGCTTGAAAATAAAAAGGTATAGCTCGACTTACCATGGCCTTATTTTATCGATACTTTCAGTTTGAAATGATTTATTGGCTTGCGGAGAATCGAAATTTCCTAATTTTCCTCTGTGCACATCCGCACAAACACATTTAACAGGTAGCAGTGAGTGGGTCTGTATATCGGTCTGACTGGGCCTGGGCCAATTACGCACGATGAACCATTTGCCTTATGCCCGTAATCGGAAATAGAAGTACTCATACTCGTACTCGGAATACAGGTATTCGTACTCGTACTCGGAAGTACAAGAACTCGTACTCGTACTCGTACTCGTACTCGGAAGTACAAGTACAAGCACTAGGAGACCTGAACTTGTACTCGGAAGTACAAGTAGTCGTACTCGTACTCGGTAACCTAAGTACTCGGCAGTACTTGGAAAAAAGTACTCGACTACAATGTTGGTTACACATTCTATACGTCTGGCATTCCATTTTATTTTGTTTGCATGGGTTTTTTAGACACACTGTATGTGCATTAATTATAGCTGGCTATACATAGATCATCACTCATCACAAGGTGAGGAGGTATTGCAACGAGAAGTGCACAAAGAGGATTTACTCTTGTTGCAATAGACCATTATCATGTTGCGGCCATTGCTTTTTCCCCCATTCAAATCAACGTAACCAAAGCGAAGCTGGAAGGAAAAATAGTCTGGTTCCTTTTTGCTTAAGAACATTATCATTCAGTACTGTTATTGGATACAGGGAACATGACTAAAATCATGGCAGCATGATAAAGGTCTATTGTGGGCCGTGTTGCTGGAGGACCACTCCCGGCCACGACCTTATCGATGTGTCGCTGGTTGCACGGCAAACCGTTTAGCTGACAGTACAACAACATTGTGGGCGACTGTCTTGGAACCTGAAACGATCAAAGAATAGGCAAGATGCCTCAGTGAAAATCTCAACAACGATAAACTCTCCTGCAAGAACTATAGCGCAACCACCCGAAGACAGTAAGTCGAAGTTCTCACATTTCCATAAGCGCGCTGTACAACCGTTAATTTTAAGAAGACATACTATACAGGCATCGCCTTGAAAGGGAGGGCAAAGAAGACTGGTTACCGAAATCAAGAGTGGAAGGGGGGCGGAAACCAGTTTAGAGTTTAGTGGGGGTTTTTTACACCGTAAGAATCACTGCATATCAGAGGAGATTTGACGCAACATTTTCCGTTACACCTTTTACTGTATATTTGTTTTCATGTGCCACACACGGAGTTCTTTACTTTAAAAGAAAAAAGTAAAAAAAGAAAATATAATTTATAATTTCTAGGGGAAATCTCACCCGGCGACCCGCAAGTGTCCTTGCCAAGGATGGCGTAGAAAATACAAACAACAAATAGACAAACAGCGCCGACAAAACATCGTGCAGCTACCTTTGACACTTGACTCTTAATAAATCACTATGTACAAACAGTATACAATCCCAGAAAAAAAGTTTAATCGTACACACAAAGATAGCATGTACTCCTGTTAACGTGCTGCATTATGAATAATTGAAGTAAAGGCATGGTAAATGCTAGGAATTTACTGAGTTTATGCTTCTCACAGCCTGGTTTTAAATGCCTATAACCTAGGGTATACTTCTAGCGTGCATTGAAAGAACAACATGTTCATTCGACGCTTATGCAAATTATTTTGAAATTATCGCCATTTATAAACCCACCGTGAATATGATGATCCATGAACGAGTAGTTTTTATCTGAAATGATGTTCCTATGGTCGGTAGTTCTGTCTTAAATCGGTGTGAAAAGAGTTTGGAAGATCTCAGACGAAATACTCACGAAGTCGCGAAAACACACACTTCATGTATGTTTACGTTACATACCTAGTATGCACATTTCTTCTTCTTTTTTTCGTGTTGTTAAGAAAAACCTGTAAAAAAATCATTTTACTCACAGTCTTGTGTGAGGACTCTTTTAAACCAACTTTTTTTTCTATGATTCCCTTGAGTGTTTTTCTTTTTTTCTATGATTCCCTTGAGTGTTTGACATTTTGCGACGTATAAACCTAACCCAAGAATGCCTCTGAGAGGGGGAATCTTGTGTGGACATGGGCAAGTCCACACAGCGTATCTGAAACCTGGTTTATGTAGATATCTTTTGTTTGGAGGTCCACACAGTAAATGTAATGCTTGTACGGCCTCACACACTTCTTATGAGAAGACCTTTGTTTCCCTTCTTTTGTTTTCCTAATGTTCCTATTCATTTGTGCCTTTGTCAGTAAGAGTTTGGAATGATTCTTTATGTGTTTTGACTGATCATTTTTATCCTGAGGCTTGTGGGGGCTTGTGGTTCTTAATGTGTGTTTAACTTATCTTTCATCAGTCTCTATACAGTTTAAAATGTTGTAAGATAATTTTGTGTTCTAATCAATGGAAAGGGGGCCAATGCAGCGATAGGGGCGGGGTGATCTGTTGGTTACTCGGTTATAATTTCTTTGTTGGTTTGGTTACACTTGAATGGTTTTAAGGTTTTAAGGCCTTTTATTTATTTTTGACGGTTTATCTTAAAATATTTAATACATTTTTTTTTCGATGTAAAATTATATGTGTAAATCTAGTTTAATCATTATGACTGTATTTTTTAGTGTTCTGTTTCGGAGCTTTCATCAATGTTTAGACATTTTCCATTTTTATCTTTTAAATGGACAATAAATGAATTGAAATAATAATGAAATAATGGAAATCTCAAACTTCATAGCGTTCCCCTTATGGGGTAGATTGATTTCTAAAGATTTTCGCTATGGGGAGGATAGAGCCTATTGTTCCATTGTGTTTCCTTCCCCATAAGGAACCCTGTACATGTTCACCCCAGCACGTTTGTTTATGGTGTAAATGTTCTATTGTTCCTCTTCCCTTTTTTTTTTTTGCAACAGCTCTCATTGGTTTTGTACACATTTTCTAGTCGAGGTTGTCCTCGATTTGGTTTCTGTCCTCAATTCAACGACGATGTTGCACTTGTGTGTCCTCGATTTACACTGTAAACAGGCATGTCAATTTACCTGCAATCGTGGACCCCCTATTGTCCCTCTTTTGTTTGCACTTAAACTTTTTAGAAAGAATTCCCATATGTTTTGTACACAGTCGTCAATTGTTGACCTTCGGGAATTGAAGACCGTTTTGTCCTCTACTGTTCAACGTCCCGTATTGAATGCAGAAACAAACTCACACACACAGCCATACCTTACATACCTATTGTGGATATTATTCCTTCGTATAATTCGTGTAAGAAATGCCAGACTCAAAAATATCATCTTACTTGCACTGTAAACACTCTGTCAACGCATTTATTTTAACATGATTTTCTTGAGTATTTCTCTTCATTTTGAACCTGATAAACCTAACTCAAAAATGCCTATAAACTTGTTTTCCAGAGAGGAGGGAAACCTAGTGTGGACGTGCGCAAGTCCAAAAAGGTCCACGCTTCCTGCATCCTGTGGACCTCTTTTGTTCACAGGTCCACATGTATGTAAGGTTAGAGCACAAAACAAAATCAATGGGGTGACATCCGGTGAGAGCCGCTGTCATGTTGTGGAATGCATGTATGCCAATGCATTGTTTTCGGGACAAATGAAACTCTGTTTAGGCTAAATGGAACAAAATGAGATTAAAATTAGAACAGTCTCACCTTTTCGCTTTGAAGAGTCTTTTGATTAGTTTCTCAACTGCTGGGTCGAGGGTGAGGTCAAGAACATCGTCCCCTGCTTTATTCTTGATGTAGATGTCGGCGCCATATTTAATTAGGTACAGCGCTAGGGCAACAAGTCTGGCTCTTTCGTCTGGCTCTTGGAGCTGATGGCCAAGCCTTAACAACTACATCATTGAACGAAAACATTCTGATGAAATTTAGAAGTCTTCGTGGTATTTCAACACCTAATATTGTGGCATGTATATGATATGAAATATTATTACCATAAATCTGTCACATTTCACAGATTGATGACATGTCTCCTGATGCTGTATACATGTTTTGTATACACCATCGAAACTTGTTCCACACTATTAATGCATTAATCATAGCTTTTCCTTGTACATGATGTACTTACATATACACCCACACAATGTGCCGGTGTCACATGAAAATCCGACTCCTATGAAAATCGGACTCCTATTTCCCTATTATTGGTTGATCCCTCGCACGTGACAGGTCACTCTCCCGAAACGATCCTAAAAATAGCGTAGTATCGTACTCACGCGTGGGCAGTACTACCAATGAGTCAACAATTCACGGAGTCGGATATTCACGCTACACCGGTAGAGAGTTTGATTGTTCTGCTTACAGAGCATGACCTTACAGCCCACAGGTTGTTAATTCCAAGACTCTTTGGTCATTTTACATGATCGTTTTTAAGTACAACAGTTCATTTTAAAAGAGTCATTTCGTGTAAATACTTCATATAAGTGTCGACGCTCAACAAATCGATTTTTTTATACTTTGTGGGATGAAAGGACTTAGAGAGCAAGTAACTAAAATAGACTTTTTAAACTTTTATTTATTTTCATTTGTTTTGTTATGCAACATACAAGTTCTAAATTCGGTGGCAAAGGGGAGTGGGCGGGGCCTAGCCAGGTGTGTGTTTGTGTGTGTGTGTGGGGGGGGGGGGGACTACAAGACCTACTATTCATCCACTGGTCTAAAAATGATACACAGTGTGATTCTGTTTGTGACAATGTGCTAGATTCATGAACAATACCAATTATACATGTTATTACTCAAAGAAAAAGAAAAAACTGAAAATACATTGTTTTTTAGGTATTTGTGAAAATTACCAATTTTGAAGCGCTTCGCTAAACGTGATTTTTCAGAAGTGTTTCTATTTTTTTCTTGTAAGGGTGAAAAAAATGATTTTTTTTGCAGCCTCAAAATTGCCCCAAAAATGGCCAAAACACATAATGGCCCGTAACCATGACAACGGGCAAAATATAAATTAAAAAAGTTTTTGGAGCGTGGACACTTTATATGAAGTATTTTTTATACACAAAACGACTCTTAATTGTTTTTAAGTTGTTATTGCCCATTCATAGTAATTGTTATTTCTAAGAATCAAGACAAACAAGTTACAAAATTAACTAACTCTTCCTTTCTGAAGTATTTCAACTTCATCCTGATTTCCACAGCACATATAAGTACTTCCCCACGAGCAGTTCCTTAATCAGTCAGTGTAGGCCTAGTTCAGACTTGCAATTGCATGCTGTTGTCCTGTGTCGGAACTTTGTCGTAGCTACGGTTGATTGCGGCCTTGTATAGTCTGTAGAGCCTGACTTTCCCGGAAGGTTTAATCGGACTTAGACTCGACCTTTGTGACTCGTGACTCGGACTCGGACTCGACCTGCATGGCTCGAGATTCAGACTCGGACTCGGGAGAGGTTTATACTCGGACTTGGACTCGATATTTGGTGACTCTGATATAAGTCAGGAAGTATGCTCCAGAGCAAGGGCGTAAATCCCTGGGGAATGAGGGTATTATATCCCCGCGTTTTGACCGGGGAGATGGGCTATGGAATCATCCCCCAACTTTTTCTCGATGAGAAAAAAAAATGATTTTGAGGTCATTTTTCAACATCCCAACGACCAAAATGTATTCAATAGCACTGAATAATGGTGAAACAAAGAACAAAAGCTTTCGAAATACGGCTATTTGTTGCCAGTTTCATACATATTGATATACATCAATATCCTGAAGAGCGCCCCCTAGTATAATGTGGTGTCAGCTCCAGTGGCGTATCCAGCGGGGGCAGAGGGCACTTTGCCCCCCTCCCCCGGCTGATTTTTTTTGACAATTTTTTTTTCAGCAATGATTTAAATAAATGTTTATAGAGTTCTTCTGACATCAATCCCACAAAAGAAAACCCGCTAAACAATTACAATGCGCCGCCCCCCGCTTTTGGATTTTACGGAGGACATGTCTACGTTTCGGCGTGGATGTGCGGTTGCCCTCCCCCCCCCCCCCCCGACATCAAAAGCTGGATACGCGCTGCTGGTCAGCCCCCCCCCCCCCCCCGCTTTTCGAATTTCCACGGGTGGGTATTTGTGGGATTTTTGTCATCCCAATGCCCCCCCCCCCCCCCGCCACACTCGCCGGCACAGATTTACGCCACTGCCCCACAGTCTTTCCGAAGTTGAACAGTGCAAAATGCTTAAAAATTAATGTGTTTTGACGCTGGAATTATTGAGTGAAATAATTTCCGCTGATGCGTTAAGCGTTGAGAGAAGCAATATTCACTCATGCTACGAAAAACTCGACATTTACCTGTCCCATCGGTGTTCCCCGCATGATCGCTTTCACGGCGTCTTCTATCATGAGCAGATGGAGGCTGGTGTTACCGTCGTTATCCTGGGCGTTCACATTGGCACCGTTCGTGACCAGAGCCTCCATACACTTGTCGTGGGTCTTGTCGATGGCCAGGTGCAGCGCTGTTTTCCCAACGTTGTTTTTCAGCTCCTTGTTGCAGTTCACCTTTGAGACAAAAGTTCGTGCTTATTGTGAGTCATTAAATTGGCATGAATTAGTTTTTTGGGTTGCCGACGTTGAAACAGTATTCACAGCTAGAGATAACCCCAAAGATCTTAAATGTTGTTACTTTCAGAAATTCCCCAAATTCTGATGCCTTGAGAAGCGCACGAACAAAAAGTCTGTGTTAGAGAGTTTCGACAGGTTCGAAATTTGCAACCCATGTGAAGTGATCCATTAGCGTAAATCGGGGAGGTGGGGGGTTGGGGGGTTCGGATATACCACCCACACCTTCTGACCGGAGGGGGGATGGGCCATTGGATCACACCCCAGCTTTTTTGGGTGAGCACCCCCCCCCCCCCAAAAAAAAAATGCCGATTTTTAGGTTATCTTGTAACTTTCTAACGGTCCAAAGTTTGTTAAATAGTTTCGACAAATGGAGAATAAACAGTGCAAAAGCCCTGTTGTTATGTCATGCCAAAGAGGCGCGCAAGTTTCCATTACATGTACATTTGTACCTTGAACAGCGCCCCCTTGTGCCATCAAATTGTGACTAGCTGCGTATTCACATTGCATGCACACGTGCGACGTGTTGCATAATAAAAGCAATACATGTACATTGATGGGGGTAAGCCAAAATTGAAATGGACTAAATGAAACTTATAATAAGCTCGGAAAATGTCCATTATCTTTGTGTGGCTATTTTTCAATTCCCACACATTTCTAAATTTGACGAGGATGTATTTTACTGGGGCGTGCATAAAGGCCTACCGTAGGTTTGCTTGATAATACATGTATCTATACTAAGCGGTGAATGTATTCGGCAAACGCATTTTCTCCAAGCTGCATGTCGTACGGGCAACATTTTTATTAGGGACCATTAGAAACGGTGTGGGTACGGGATCGTATTAGGCAAGTAAATTCTTGTCATTTGATTGGAGGAGTGTAGGTCACGCGGCATTCTTTAGTCGAACCGGTTTACGTCATAACCGTGCTTTTTTGGTTCCATTCACCGTGCATTTTCGTCCCATCCCTATTGATCTATAACATGTCGCGCGCACGCTTAGACGCGCAGCGGCCCGGCGCTATATGATCTTTGCATTGATGCAGTTGCCTTGATTTTTTTTTGCAGTTTTTTTTAAGAACTTACAAAGTTAATTTTTAGTATTGTCAATGATTTGACTTTGAAACCTTTGGATATGATACAATTTTGTGAGTTTTGTCTGTTCTTAAAGTTTTATCCTCCAATCAAATGACAAAGATCTACTTGGATGTTATATATAAAACAAATAATAATGTTTTGCATTCGGGAAATGGTGAGAATATTTTTATTTGTTGAAAGATGACATGTTCCATTCAACTCGGCTGCGCCTCATTGAATGGAACATTCCATCTTTCAGGAATCTTTTCAGGGATTTACTTAACTCATGTCGAAATGTATCCCCTTTTCATTCAAATCATGTTATCAACGACCTCACCTGTTTGACGAGGATCAAGGTGATTTCAGTCAGTCCGTTTAAGGCAGCGAGGTGAAGTGCAGTGTGACCGTCCGTTCTGGCAACATTTATCATGTCTGGCGACTTTCTTAGAATCCCTTCCACCGCACTAGAGTAATGAAATTTGTTTGTTTCATAACGGAACACCCAGGCACGTGGTGGAATATTTAACAGCAAAATATTAAATCAATGCATAGACTGTTTTGTAAGGTGAATTTTTCAAATTAAGACGACCATAGATAATTTCAAAGGTCTTTTTTTGTACGAGAACTGAATTAATGTCTGGCAGCCAATAATTCGAAAATTGTCAAGTAATAATTCAATCACTACTGGTAACATGGGCCGATTTATTTTTCGGTTGATTTCTCATTAGAAAAGGATTAAGTTTTGTTTTGCTTGAAAAACAGCAATGTAGAAAAGGAGTCTTTTTGTTCGGGATCAAATTCGAAAAAAACCACCACGGATTGAGTTTGTCATAGAATTAAGTTTGTCACAAACTTCATCAATTCCAATATGGTTAAGTTTCAAATCAAAATTATTATTGAACAAAAAATTAATAAAAGAAATCCCTTACAAAGTGCTTCCACACAGCACGGCTTGATGCAAACTGTTTAATCCCTTCTTGTTCACCTGACGGAGGTCAGTCCGTTGGTCGTTTATCAGCCAAAGGATGATCTGCTCTTTATTTTGGGCAGAGGCTAAGGTTAGTGGCGTGTGGCCATCACTTTCCTATTAAAAGAATTAAAAGTTCTTCATTGTGCTCTTTGTCTGTACTTTTACTATAAAATTAAGTTGACAATATTTTGTGACAGAATGTTTGCGCATTTCATAAATTGGCTGTCCCGTAGTGTAGTTTGGTACAAGTACTTTTTGGTGTAGATTTAGTTCTCGGTGTCTGGCTGGCTTAGTTTCTAGCTATAGTTTCTTTTTTTCTGTAAATCTTATAATCCTTGAATTACTGGGTTTTGCAACATATCAAGCAAATGCACAATTTATATATTCATTCTAGATATTTCAATAATGGCTCCACATGCATACAATTTTTTCTTTCTCATGGATGTTTGTTTTAGTGCAGATACAATGGCATGGCCACATATTGATATGTGTACCTGGTTAAAGGTGAATTTGTATTACGCGCATAGCCAGTTCCGTTTTCTAACTGCGCATTTTGCTTTCAGGATAAACAGTATAAAATAAAAGAAATTATATTGGTCTGGAGTAGCACGCAATTCACAACGCTTTGACAGCGAAGTGTTTTTAATGTGTTTTGTTGGCCCCAAATTTTGTGCGAATGAATGTTTCATCCTTTTGATTGAATGCAATATGAATCTTGTTACGCACACTCGCAGTTGGAATACCGATTTGACTTATTATCGATATTTTTCCATTTAATATTGAATGAGCAATGTTTGAAAGTAAAAACTTCACTATGCATTTAAGCAGTTATTATAACAAGTTACAATTTTAATCATGATGTGAATAAACACTCCACTTACTTGACAGTTGACATCGCATTCCGGCTTACCGAGCAACGCCTCTGCGCATGCGTCGAACCCATTATAAGAAGCAAGGTGGAGTGCGGTCAAACCACCGTTGTTGGTTGCGTTTACGTTGCTCCCAGCAATAAGAAGAATTCTGACAATGTTTGGCTTGTTGCTAATTGAGAAAGCATCACGTCACATTAAAAATAAAACCAAAGAGAATAAAATCACTTTTACTGATAGTGCACCATTTAGAGCGAATGGAATAAACACGCAGGCGACAATTAAAAGCAGTCGAGTCGAGTCATTTTAAAGGAGTGACTCTAGTCTAGTCGAGTCATTAGGTCAAGACGGACTAGAGTCGATTCAAGGTGTGTAGTCGAGTCGAGTCGAGTCGAGTCAAATATTTAGCTTGAGTCAATTCGAATATTTGGACACTATAATAACAAATAAAGACAAGCGAGAAATTAATTTGTATTACTAACAGTTAATAAGAAGTGGAACTTCGGTCTTATAGGCTATATCTGGTTTGGCTTTGGGTCTAGAATTGTTTTCGCTTAATAAAAGGTCAAGAGGGCTTAGGAGCCAGCAGCAGACAAAAAATAGAACTAAACAAAACAGCTGTAATAATTCAATAGGTATCTAGAAGCATGTATGTGCAAACAAATCGATTTCAGGGGGCCTAAGCCCTCAAAATAAAACCAAATATGTATTATTATGTTTTAATTTTTTTTCACGACAAGCGTGTTGTATTCGCAAAGTGACGTGAATGTATTTTTCACCGTAAGTCAAGGCAAATATCTGCTAAAAATCTGATTGTTATTAGGAATCTTTTAGCTTCTGGTCCTTATTTTTTTTTTTTTTGGTGTTTTAATTTTTACTTGTATATACCAGTGTCGGAGAACTCGTACTCGAACTCGAACTCGAGTACAACTCGAGTACCAATAAGTACTTGGCCCGTACTCGATCATAAGTACTAAACAAAAACAAGTACTCGGCACGTACTCGGACTCGACCATTAACTCGACAAATTGTACTCGGTGAACTCGATCCCAGTCGCGCCGTACTCGAAAGAAAATTCAGATTTTTTCGATACTAATTTTTCGATACTAAACATAGACCAAAAATTTCACAGAGTGAAAGTATTACGCTGTATTCTTTATCGACTCTGCATCGAGTATTTGTGAATGTGTATTGGCAGCGCTCGCAGTATCGCTGGTGCACATTTTTACTGTCCTTTTCCTACTTAATACTACAAGAATACCAGCGGAACAAATGGCAACCTTCTTTCCATGGGCTGCATGTGCGTTCATCACACGAGGCATTTTCTAACTAACAAGGTGCGGAAAGATCGTATCCGTGGGGAAGAGGTTGTGCACATCACTCTTTGTTGGAAACGCGTCACATTCTCTCGCACATGGCGGCGAGTTCGATCCCAGACGTAGACATGTCTTCTTCGTCAGAAATAGTTGGGGGGTTAGAAATCACAAGGAATATTTTGCTTAAGGACAGAAGCAGCACAGCGGATTTCGGAGAAGTCTGGAACAACCTTCAGAATGAGGATGATCGTCAATAAATCAAGAATTCCAAGCAAAAACATCACTTTTTTAATATGTGTACGTGTTAATTTCTTGGAATACTGGGTAAATACTTTACATATCACATGTAAGTAACAGTGCTAATTTCCATAATGCTTTAGTTTAAAAAATGTACTCGGGATGTACTCGATATCTTTGTACTCGTACTCGGCCCGTACTCGGACTCTGAAAAACTCGAACTCGGATTTTTGGCCCAGGACTCAACTAAAAAGTATTCGGTCTCGGCACTGTGTGTACTCGGAAAACTTGGTACTCGAGTTTTGGTACTCGACTACAACACTGGTATATACCCACCCAGTTCGATCTGTATAATTTATTCATAAGTGTGATTTTAACCATTCAACTTCGTAACCTTTATTTTATTTTTCTAGATTTTCCGAACTTTTGTTTTAGTTTTTTTTTTTTATTAACTATGTACACTATTGCTTTAGCATTTCTATGCTTGTGTTTTATTGTTTAATTATTTTGTTTGGTGTATATTTTGTTTTATAGTATATTAGAACTTCTATTTATGTTTTATTTCATTTTAATTATATATTTCCCAGGACCCCATGGAAGACCACAAGTTAATGTGGATGAGTTTTCCTGGTAAAATGAAAGATAACATGAATACTATTCAATAAATATTTTTTCGCAAAGTTTTGCTTTTACTTTTGGGACTCGAGTCTTATTAGCCTTCGCTCGAGTCGAGTCGATTTGAGTCTTTTGGTGAGGAATTCGAGTTGAGTCGAGTCATTTGCTCACAGTTACTCGAGTCGAGTCATTTACCGATAGGGACTCGAGTCGAGTTGAGTCATCAAAAATTGTGACTCGAGTAGAGTCATTGACTCCGGTCATTACAACTCTGGTTAATAATATACTTCAGGTGTTTAGACAACAGTTACTAGAGAGTACAAATGTGTGATTTGGGTTTCTGAGGGTGACAGATGAGTTGAAGTAAGCTAAGGCAGACCAGATCAGATATTGGTAGTAGACAGATGAGTGTGTTTTTGGTGTGGGTGATCTCATTAATCTTATTCACCAGGTGCAGCAAGCTACAGCAGGCCTTTTTCAGCTATCAGTTTAAAGCCTAATTGAGGCAGTTACATGAAGTCGAGGTTTTTGAAACCAGTGCTTGATTTGTCAAGACTTGAGAGCATTTTTGCTCATGTAAACACACCAAGGAAGAATTTCAGCAGTTCTCAGAACCAAACAACCGTACGTGTTTATTTCAAACTTAATTTATGATAATTTTGAACACTAATTACAGTCAGTTTGTGGAGGCAAAATAATGGATTTGTATAAATTATGAGTAAATTTCAGGATTATTGATATTAATGTTATGTGACTTTAATTGGCCACAATGACGTTATTTGAAGTATTTGTAGGGTGTGATAATAAGAATTCGTATTGACATTTTTATTTACCATGAATTTCGCTACAACAAGTGAAAGTCTGAACAATGTCGTGAAATGATCATTAAGCAGTTATTACATTTAGAATGGCTCTTTTGAATGTTAAACAGCTCGTGTGAATGTTAAGCAGTTTAGTCAAATTTGTCATTTAAAATACGATTCGATGTTTTCTAATTATTAGATGGCTGGGAGTTGAGGGACTATATCCAAGACATGAAGCTTGACTGGGGTTCCTTGAGGCTATCAGGACCAAGGATGGACTCAATATTTTACCCTGAAGAGTCCGTAAGACACCTGGACTCCGCGGTGTTTCCAAAGATCGTGCCAGGATCCAGACAGATATCCGGCCCAACTCCTCTATCCGGCACTGATAGACTCAGGCAAGTAAAAACTTAGAATTGTACAAAGAAACTGCTCCAGATTAATTGTTTGAGTGTGACTTTAAGAAGTGCATGAAGGATTTTGTAGAACATAACTAAGAAGTTGTAGATAACTGTATTTTCTCATTGATCAGTCGGAGAAATCGTATTAAGGAATTTAGTTGTAAAAATTTGTAAAAATGATTTTATGCGAATAGATTAAGTTCAGAACAAGAGAAAAATTGTCTGGTGTTTTCGTTGTTGGGTTGTAAATGTACATGTATAGTTGTAGACATTAAGGACATATCCTTGGAAATATTCTAAAACGGACGAAATGGAGCAATTTATAGACGACGGGGAAGTGTCAGGTTAGGGAAACAGACTAGCTGGTTGCACCCTTCATTGATGTATAACCAATAATGGCAAACAAAAATGATTACTAAAGTAAACTAGAGGTTGTAGGAACAACCACACGGTGTTGGGCCGTGGATTACCGCAAACTTTGCCACACACATCAACTCAAAATATGCATCTTTAAATCCATGTTTGACTTTTTAACATGCCGCCAGCAAATTCGCATCTTCTGCCAATTTCAATTAATAAAGCACTTCCGGTTTCGACCGGAAGAAGGGTCACGTGATTTTGCACTTAAGACCAAAAATGAAAACCCTGCAATATTTTATCGATTGCCATAAAAAAACAAAATCAAATCTGTAGCAGTTGATTTTATATTGATCTTCAAAGATTAAATATGGACATATTTATTTGCTTGTAATATGACACTTGATGACGTCATTGTGACGTCATCGCCAGAAACCTCCAGAGCTATATTTACTCTGCTGTATATAGCCCCATCTGGATTATATCTCTCACGGTTGATTTTTTAGCAATTGTTTAAGGTTTAACGATCTTTTCTTTATAACTTCCGGTCTGATGACGTCATCCATTTTTTTTCGAGCACAGGTCTTTTCTGCATTAAGTTCATCAGTTATGTTAGGTTTGAAGCGATTACCGCAAATTTCGCCACATACATCAAGTGATAATGCGTTTTCGACGTTTTTTAAACTGCTGCTAGAGGGCGCTCTAACATTTGATGACGTCACCTGTAAAATGTTTGTACAGTACTGCCTAGGCAGACACTCACATCGTTGAAAACAAGTTCGCATCTTCTGTCAATTTCAATTAATAACGCACTTCCGGTTTCGACCGGAAGGAAGGGTCACGTGATTTTGCACTTAATACCAAAAATGAAGACCCTGCAATATTGAATCGATTGCCATGAAGAACAAAATCAAATCTGTAGCGGTTGATTTTACATTGATTTACAAAGATTAAATCTAGAAATCTTTGATTGCTTGTAATTCGATACTTGATGACGTCATTATGACGTCATTACCAGAAACCTCCTGAGATATATTTACTGTGCTGTATACAGCCAATCTTGATTATATCTATCACGGTATAATTTCTAGCAATTTTTTAAGATTTAAAGGTCTTTTTATTGTAACTATTTTTTTCGCGCACAGGTGTTGTCTGCATTATGGTCATCATGTACATTAATTCTGAAGCGATTACCGCAAACTTCGCCACAGACATCAAGTGAAAATGCGTTTTTGACGTTTTTTAACCTGACACTGGGGGCGCTCCAACACTTCATGGCGTCACCCATTACTTTTTTTGAAAGGTCAATCCAGGCAGACACTTAAATCGTTTAAAAGCAAGTTCATATCTTTTTCCACTTTTAAATTATCAGGCACGTACTTCCGATTTCGACCGAAAGGAAGGGTCACGTGATTTTTCGCGCACAACATAAAATGAAGATCATGTATTACCATGTCGATTCCCGCAAATTTCAGGTTCCGGGTTCACTGTTGATTTTATATGAAATTTCAAAGATTAAATTTATTAAACTTTCGAGTGACGTCACGTGACCCATGATGATGTCATGATGACGTCATTGCAAAAAAAAACCACCATCTGCGGTGGATTGGGCATTCATGTATTGACAAATGAAGTTCATATATGTTTCCATTTCTCCAAACAGTTCTGGAGAAGGATTTCCTGAGAATATGCTGAGAAGAATAAAAACAGTAAAATCTTACAAAACCAATAGGTATTGGGCTCAAGGCCCAACACCTAATTAGGTAAATTGGGGACAGTATTGGAAGAAAGTCAGTTTTTCCAAACGGTGGTCGGCCAACCATCGTTGGAAACTGATGCAAAAAGTCTTCTTTTCATGAATGAGACAGCATATCAGATGCCAGCATTTCAGGAGGTGTTCGTGGAGGTGATGCTCACCTAAACACAGCAGTCATTAATGGAGCGTCTCCCACAGCATCGGGGATTTGTAGTGGTGCTTTACCTTTGAGCAATTCATGCACCACATCCACGTGACCACAATGAGCGGCTATATGTAGCGGCGTCACTCCTTGGTCATTCTGAAATTTCACCTGGGAAAAAAAATAACATGGACTTCAGAATCTCTCCAACATGTTGGATGAAGCGATGTCAACTTCCAATACCTCGGGGAGCTAATGTAGACTATCCACCCTCAAACCATGCAATGCGTTCGAATGCCCCTCCCAGCTCACTTCCAACTCTTCCTTTGTAACCAAAGTGCCGATTAACAAAACAAACCATGGACAAAAGGGGTCCTTGCTCTACTGTCTGAGCCAGTGTGGAAGGAAGTTCTGCCCCAGGATATCCTGATCCCGGAAAAATTATCCTGGTTTGGCCAGGATATTCATTGTGTGTCTCCCGGACAGTATCTGCTAGGAAATAATCCCCCCTTCAAGGTATTCTGTCACCTACCTTAACGGTAAATTTGACCCCGGATTGTTCTGCCCAAATCAGGAGATGTAAAATTCTAGTCTGAAACCAAGACTTCTATTTCTTTTGTCTTCATAAAATTTCATCTCAGGAACAGATAACGCGGTACCCGCTGCTATGTACATTAGATGTGTCCCACCCGAGTGATTTTTTCCCAACTTTCACTCGGAGGTAACACACTGAGCACACAGTGTAAATACGTCGGTGAAGGGCAAAACCTAATTTGATACCCGACGCAAACAAGATTCCATCTTATGAATAGACGGCTTTCTTTCATTATTATCGAATCCGCTTGCCTCCGGATGGTTCATTTTTTGTTTTTATCTGTGCACGAGTCCCATAAATGTTACGCAAGTCGGTGAACTTTCTGACTAATTCGGCGTCCGCCGCAATGGATTAACTCACAATTAAAGGGATATTACGGTCTGGAATGTGCCCCATTCCGCTACAAAACGCGTTTGAACGAAACGATATTAAACGGAAAGAGCGTATAAAGGTAAAATTTATGTTTTTTGAAAACTGCGTTTTGTGGCATTCCTGCAAAGACCATGCGAGAATGAATTTCGGGGTCAAAATTTTGTCTCAGAAAACTCGAGCAGTTAATTCAGTGCTAGTCCAGCCGCACAGTGTTCGCATTCTGCGGACGTGTAAGAAACAACATTTGTACTGGTGCTATGTGTAATTTATGAGACACATACACAACGTGTATCGTACATTGAATGAAAACGACAGGAATTACGTATACGTCTGCGTATACGTAAACAACCGGTATTCCCGTCTTTTTTTGAGAACGGTGAGACTTTAGGTCAGGTCATGATTCAAAACATGAATATTTCGGGAATTTTATCCATAACGGCCCTTTAGAGTATAGTCTGCCGACGAGGGTTCTGGGAGCATGCATACATGCAATGTAATCCACACTGCAGGATGGATCTGTCAGCTGTCTAGGTTTAGCATTCGATTGATTATTGTTGGCCCCATTTTACTTGTTTCATAATTTACTTTAGTCAGTGGCTGAACGGGGGTTGTTGTACCCCCCCCCCCAAAGAAACACACCATTGGTGCACGTGTACCACAAACGCGCGCGGCTAGTAGGACAGTTCATACGCGTCTGGCTGGCGTAAGGCGTAACAAGTTTATTTCTCGAGCGCACCACACATTCACTAAAAATCAGGGTGACCGTTTTAGCCGATTTTCGGCTAACTTTGACAGAATTTTTGTTAAAAAACGAGTTGGACAAAAAAATTGACAGAATGGTTTTTTTTGGCAGATTTCTGGCAGAATTCTGCAAAAAATGGTTATTTCACAGAAAAACAGCATATTTGAACAAAAAGTGTACACTTGTTTGAAAAAACCTCAATCCTTTCAAACAAACCCTTGCATAATGTCACAGGTTGGCTGGTCTAGGTGCTGAGGTTGGCCGGATGCGCGTTTTGCCCAAAATTTTTACCAATAATTTCACATCTTTATGTGACTAGATTGTTTATCATGTAATTTGAATCTTAATTAAGGCAATACTACCAATCTGCATGTGATTTTAAGTGTTAATAGTGTCTTTCGAGTAATTCTGGGAAATTTGGCAGATTTGTGATAAATCTGAACGATTTTTGATGTGCATTTAGCAGAATTTAGCTCTGATCTTACAGTCACCCTGCTAAAAATACTACGTAGAACTGTCACAACAATACATTTTGAAAATCATCAGTTGTAAAATCTCGAACAACAGGGCGGGCATGGCCGGTATTTGACCTAAAACTGGGGGCAACAATTGGGGACAGAATATATCCTACAGCAGACAATGTCCGGTCCAGCCGGACACTCATGCACACTATGTTCTGTCCCCGGACAATTTGCACGGGGACGAAAAATCCGGTCACACCGGCAGTAAAAAACAAGTGTCTACAATGGGAAGTGGATATCGCCGCTTCCATAGGTTTATTTGTAATTGCCGGTCATTGCCAGGTTATTCTGACGCGGCCATAGAACTATTTTATCTGGTGAATCTTCAGAAAAAGGGATAAAAGGAACACAATGCCTTCACCCTACAATTCCGCCCGGCCGACACGGATGTTTTTTTGTAAAAGGCTTAACATTAAAAAGAGTGTGCATAAGACGTGGTTATTGTGTACTTAAGGTGTATATATTTCCTGATTTCACCGTCCTCGGAAGTCACGGTTGGCTAGTATTTTTTTGGGGGGGGGTGCAAATTTGTTTCTTCCAAACTTTCAATAGCCTAGCTGAATATTACTACATTCCAAAATGTTTCGCTATTTCGCAAAAAAACATAACGTTGATGATAAAAAAATGCTTCACCAAGCTTTACCACGCCCACTTGGGGTCATCATGCAAATTGAGGTCAGCCAGAAGGCGGGTGCCGCGCCCGAGTTATTTATGAAGGCGTGAGTTTGTCACGGTGTCAAGTAGAGTTTCGTATAATCTTCTCACCGTTTCTGGATCATCATTGATGATATTTCGCACTTTGTGGACTACTCCCCCAGCTGCCGCGTCGAAGAGAACTTCACCCCTTCCCCTACCCGCCGCCGATTCGCCAATCATGGATCCGAGTGTGTCTATTTGAGCCTTCAGGAGTAGAGTGGCTAGTAATCCACCCAGATTTAGTTCTGAAGCTGGACAAAATTTGAAAAGCACAATCACAAGTTGCTACCACACAAACACAACAATAGTGTAGGGTTTATCTGCCGATAAATTATATAGTTAGCGTTGTTTGTCTAGTTTTGTCTTGTATTGTTAAATAGGCACATCCTTCTTGATTTCCAGAGTGCCTGATTCATTATGACGTTAAGCTGATTTAGCCGTTATTAAAATTATATTAATTGTCGTGTTCGCTTTGTTTAATTGTTACACATTTTACTATTGTTAGTACTTGTAAATTCTCTAACGGTTGTTGTTTGTCTTGTTTTGTCTGGTATTGTTGGGCACATCCACCACAAGCTTCGGCTTTTGGGATAATGCCTCCCCAGAGTGGAAATAAATGTACATTGCATTGAATTGAGTCGTACTTTCTTTTGAAAACTTTAAAACAAAAAGCCTCCGTCGGCAATGTCTGAAATCAAGACTTTCGCAAAATAAAGGTTTGGCTCTACAAACGGAGCCAATATATTTGTAAACCACAGCTCGCGTAGAGTCCTTAAACCCGAAACAAATACCATCATCTTACATTTTAAAATATGTACTTTTTTTTAATCCTTGTCGACATTTTCCAGATTATTTAATTTACCTGCAGCACCTGTTCCGGCATCTTCAGCTTCCTTCTTCTTCTCCATGGCGATACACAGGGGATTAATGAAGAACGACGATCCACCAAAGTTGACCTTGACATCGCCATCTTTGTCGACCATGACGACTTCGCCGACTTTGCCGCAGTACTATATGAGGCCAATATTGAAATTACTTATATTCGTAATATATTTCCAATAATTGTATCATGTCCTATTTTTCCACCATAAATATGTTTCTGAATTCAACTTCAAAATTCTTCCTTTTTTATACTGAAATCGACCATTGCATGCATGCGTTCGTCATCGGATTTTACTTTCATAAAAAAAAACATTCAGAGCCCATAATCAGAAAAACATTAAGATAAGATATACCCCAAATAAAAGTAGGATTTTATTTCAAAATGTAAATTAAGAAAATATATATTTTGGTAAATTAAAATTATTATATTCGAGCCCTGCCCCTTCGTTATATTCTTTTTGAGCTAAACAAAACCGCTGCAGTCCATTGGGAATTTAAAACCTCCCATTTGCAATGTTATGCTGCAATCCCGTAATTTTAAGTTATGCCAAATGTGTTACGGCTCCCGTAAAAAAAAAAAGCCACTACGTTTTAAAAATTTCATTATCTTTTATTTTAGAAATTTCCCCCAAATGCTTCAGCATTTCCCCAAGATATAACCATTCCCTTGTATTTTGGTGACACGCAGCCACACACACTAGTTTACCTTACATACCAAGTGAGGACTTTCCTTTTTTTCACTACCTGCACTGTGCGGACGTCTTTTGTTCACATGTCCGCAGAGTGACTGCACTGCTTGTTCTCCCTTTATCCCTCTTCTTTAGAATTTCCCTTCTGGGTACTGTTATGTATGGGGTACCAAAGTTCCCTTACGAGTACAAGGTAGCTCTCGTAAAAACATGACCACTTTGCGAACTCTACAACACACAATGACTGAATATCCATGGTTTGTGCCCGACACTTCACTATGGTACACATACAATTAAAACATCTCTTTCATGTAAAGCGCCAAGACATGGCTTCGACCAGTTATTGCCGGCCCTATACGTTGCTGTCGAACTTACGTCTTTGATTTCTTCATTCCAGCCTAAATTACGCTCTTCCTGCAGTTCCTTGAGCTTCAAATGGTCCATGTCCAGCAGACGGACCTTATCTCCGGTGTCCAAGTAAGGCCGGACTCGAGTCCCATCTGTATCAGTGCAAAATTCCAAGAAAGAAACAAGACGTTTTCGATCTAAAGATCCCACCATGATACCCAAGTTGACTTTTAAGCAATCAACTTTTCTTTTCAAAATAGTTTTAAAATCCAACACTTCTGTGTATTAATTTGGGGTTTTTTTTCGATCATAGGCCTATTGAACAAATCGATATTGGAGTTTCAGAAGGTTCATCTTCAGTTACAAAAAGGCTCAATTTTACATAATATTAAAGGGATACTACGTCCTGGAAAGTGCCCAATCCAGGCGCGGTTTTAGAACCTATATTTTTTGTTGGGAGGCATTCAAAATTTTCAATGGGCATCGGTACATTTGACGTCGTAAAATCAAATTTAAAGGAGCTGAAATTTGGAACATTGTTGTGTAACATCTCCATCACTACAAGGTAAACTTTTTTATCAACGTCACTTGAATTTGTGGAGTAGTTGAGCCAAAAGCAGCCTGAGTGATGTTTGCTATCTGGAACTATAGGAAAACGACTGTCTTGGAATTCTTTCCGAAAAAAACAACAACACATAGGCCAAGACCTAGTTTGAGTCATGTCCTTTTCCTCCATGATTTAAATGAACAATATTTTGTAATCATTCCAAAATTAATATTGCAAGTGCATGTACATGTACACGTTTTTGGATGTTTAATACTGCATGACAAATCAGGGTTTTTTTTAGTTTTGAACATGTTTTCTAGTCGAGGTCGTCCTCGATTTAGTTCCTGTCCTTAATTCACCGATGATGTTGCACGTGCGTGTCCTCGATTTACACCATAGACAAATGCAAGCGTGTATTTGCCTGCAATCGGGGACCCCCTGTTGTCCCTCTTTTGTTTGCAATTTAACTTTTTAGGAAGACCTCCCATACGTTTTTTACACATCGCCAAATTGGGGACATTCGGGAATGGCCAGACCCTATTGTCCTCTAATGTTCAACGTCCCCTCTTGCATGCAGAAACAAACTCACACACAGACACACCAGTTAAGTCACTGCAGGTACTCTGGCAACGGTGCTTTACTGTACATTATCCAGGGTAAACATTGCCAGACATCTCCCTAAATCGCTGCTTCACAGCCAAGTCGGTACATCTACATCATCTTACCGAAGTTTGGAAGATGATCGATGAAGAATTCCCCAGCGGTGTCCTCTTGCTTGTATTGTACGTCCAGCTTGCCTTTATAACCCACCCGGTATTTGTTGGTCTTGCCGTTTGGCCATTGAACGGAGACCAAGGAACGATGGGTTCCCTGTGTGCCAAAAACTTCCTTCACGGTTCCTATTATCCCTTCTCCTCCTATCACAATAATCAAAAGCGGAAAAGCTCAAAAGACAGTTGTATTTTTACAAAACAGAACTGCCAAAGGTGCCTGCAGTGGATAGACTATGGTTGATCGCTGAAAGATAATTTCCTAATGTGAAAAAAAATTCAAAGTAACATGCAACAAACCCACTAAAATATATTCAACGTTGATTGTATCTTCAGCTTTCTGCGTAAAGACATGGCAGGATATTTGACAGTTCCTTTTAATGTTCTTACCGTCTTGATCTTCCCATTCCCAATCGGGCCCTCGCACCACTTGGGCACCTGGAAATATGCCCAAAGAGCGGCATTTGGTGGCGCCAGATCGACATGGAACCTCAACCCTGAAACGACAAACAATTCAATGATTGATAGTGTTACGTATGCTAGGCCTTATATCTGAAACAGAAAATCGCTTGACCTTCACTTCCGGTGTTACCGGAAGTGCAGTGAAAACCAAATACATATAAATTATGATAGTGTTAAGCGAGGAATGCCAGACACAAAAAAAAACATTGTGACGGTGTCGTCTTTCGAAAGGGACGCCCCCAGTGGTTGCTTTCTTTTATTTGAAAAACTTCCGTTCAAATTTTACCAAATCGCTCCTTGATATTTGTCAATCAACTACAAATAACTTTGCATGATTTCAAATTCATGACTTCATCAGACCGGAAATTACTTCTATGAGAATTTAAAAACGGCAATATTTCAAATTCAATTTATATCATTTGATATGATATGTCGTATATCTTCGTAGCCCAATTAACGATATCCATTACAATGTTCACTTTTTGATTCCAAATACTGTGACGCCATCAAACCGGGGGTAAGGTGTTGTGGACCCATACACGTATATTTCCTAAATTTTCGTACGTTACTAAACCTCACAATGAACATTTATCTACTCCGAACTAAGTATTCACTTCCCGTTTTTGAATAATGACGTCATCAAGCCAGAAATAACTTGTATGTGTACATGTACACAGATTGGTTACTAAATTTTATCACAAAATAATTAATTGTACTGGAAAGGATTTAATTTCGTGATCCTTTGTTCGTACATAAAAAAATGCCTGCCCGACCACTCTGCGTTTGTATCAACAAAGGCAAACCGCTAGTTAGATTATTGTAGTACTAGTACTATTGTATGGGGAGGAAGGTACGGAAGCCTGTTCGTGCCAGGTTTTTAAAGTAAAACAAAATATTGCAAAACAACGCAATAGTATTGCGAAATAACGATATAGTATTGCGAAATAACGCAATACCTTTGCGAAATTACGCAATAGTATTGCAAAATAACGAAATAGTATTGCGACATAACGCAATACTTTTGCGAAGGAATGAAGGAATGCATGAGTCCGAATGATTGAACCTACAGGCCTACTTCGGCCTACTTTAGGCCTACTTAGCACTATAGGCACATTCTCAGGTCGTATTTTATGACAGATAAAGTTTTTATGGTGTTTAAAAGCCCAACCTGCATGGCGGATCCTGGATGAGCGGACCGAAGTAATATATATTAAATGGGATCAAACACTTAAAGCAATGTCTGGAGATTGTATGATGAATTTTATTTCACGAATCTTAGTGAACATTGGCATTTTTCAGACGGAAACTAATAGTTAGTCATCCCAACGATCCCCATAACCCCACACTGCCTATAATGACCCCATAAAAGCACGTCTTAGCTTTACGAACAAATGGAGAGTTAAAGGTACAGTTTTTTTTGTAAAAATTCGTTCAGTTCTTTAACATGCTCAAAACACTTTTCTAATTCATATCAGTATACGGTTTTCAAAAGTGATTCTTGAAGCAAGGCATCATTTTATCAATTTATATTGAATGGACCGGTTATGTAATTTCGGTCGGGTGATATTGGAGGGGAAAACATATTAAAGTTGGAAAATTATTCTTATCTATATAATTATCGTTCGTTTAAATGTTTTAGTTTTCTTCAGCGTTGTGGAATATTGGGTGTATAATATTAACACATCCCCCCCCCAAAAAACACCCATACAACCATTCCTTTAAATGTAGTTATATATGTACAATTTCCCCTGCATTGTTACAATACGAGTGCACTGTGGATTCACCATTATACTCAAGTAATTATTCACATTCTAAAGTTAGTTTCCTTCAACGGCATGGGTAAAATTGCTTATATATTGATGCAGTACTTTGTTGCGATGGAATCATTAAGTTCTCTTCTGTCAGCACGCGTTCGTGCATTCTGTCCACTTTGAGTAGGTTGTGTCTGTCCACTTTGAGAAGGTTGTGTTTAAAAATAAAAATCAGAAAGCACACGATTCAATACAGGGGGTGGTGGTGTGAAAAGATAATAAATCTCTTACAATTTGTTGCTCCTCCCACCTCCCGGCAAAAATGTCTCAGAAATTGTCTATTATGTCAACGTTTTCTGACAAGATCAAACATAGGCCTACTTGTCTTTAGCACCCAGCCCCTTTCAACCAAAACCCTACCACGGCAAGAGCACAATGAATAAAAACGCAATGACGGACAGAAACTTCAAGAATATTTCATCAAACTGGACAAATAAAGGCCAAACTGAACACCAGGGTGGAGTTTGTACACGACAGTATTGCGTTATTTCGCAATAGGTATTGCGTTAATTTTCAAAAAAAATATTGCGTTATTTCGCAATACTATTGCGTTATTTCGCAATACTGTTGCGTTATTTTGCAATAAATTTATTGCGTTATTTCCCAAAAGTATTGCATTATTTCGCAAAAGTAGTGCGTTATTTTGCAATAAAAATATGTTTTACTTTAAAAACCTGGTACGAACGGGTTTCCGTAGGAAGGTACACATCTCACGACAATATTCTAAATAGATGTCTGAATAGAGCCGCGCGGATAATCCTGAAGTGTGCATTCTTAACTCCTTCAGCCGATATGTTAGCTAGTCTTAATTAGATGTCATTTGCTGAAAGGGTTCAGTATCAAACGGCTATTCTTGTTTACAGATGTATAAATAAAAATACTCCTTTGTATATGACCAATCTGTTTACACCACTTATTCAGATTCGTGAAACGAGACAATCCACTGATATGGCACTGAGAATTCCTTTTGCAGAAAAACAATGTTATGACTCAAGCTTTGCTAAGACTGGTACAACTATCACATGGAATTTGCATGTACATGTAAGAACCATGACTTCTCTAACTTCACTTAAATCTGAACGACGTAAAACGTTCGAGTCAGTAATATTTCTGCAAGTAATTATGTGAGTATTTTTTTCGCTGTCTTCTCTGATTATACAAAACAATCTAAATATGTGCTTATCTACGGAGTTAACAAACTTGGTTGCCATTATAATGAGCCAGATGGGAATGTCCCCGTGTTTTCTCCCAAAAGGTTTTTTTCGGGGAGTTTTTACCCTTCCCGTTATCAGCGAATATAGCAATATAATTTTTACACGTTTCTGCTATCAGGAAATGCTACGTCTGAGGCCATACAAATTTATCGGGTACACCATCACGAGGTGAAGCATCGTCTGTTGAATTTATTATCATGATGGCATTGTGTTCCTTTGTCACCACAGATATTTCATTCCGAAGTCCGACTCGGGTTGCAACAGCTGGATTGATGATTGTTGATCTTTGAATAGGCCTACATAAATTATGAGTCCAAGGTACTATTTGCTCTGATACCAGGCGCAATGAGCCATACTTTTTTCCCTAGCAGCCAAGCATAGTCACTGAACACCATACTCTTTTTGCGTCGGTTGAATTCACCAATCTAAAATCACATGCACATAATTTCAATCGCTTGATTTGAATCAGGAATACGTATATTAGTAAAGTGACTAGATCCGGTTGTAGAATAAAATGAGTACTTTTGAACCGTGTCCAGATTTCTCCAGGGTAGTCCGATCCTAGACGTCCGTGCTCTGTAACGAGCTGGTAGTCTGGTGCCCTATCCAGACGTTCCTGAAGTCTGACAATAGAGCGTGCATGTAGGTCAGACAACCGCCATATTTACGAAGCAATTAAAGTCCTCTGCTGGTACGAGTGAATACTTGTGGTACCGTGACGACGCTGGACATTTTAATACAGATAAATACCCCTGTTATTGAAACTCGCGAATGCCGCAAACCATGAATTTATGAACCGAATTTTTCAACCTTTTCAAAACTGAAAACAAGCAGGGCAGGTATTTTGTTGGTAAATGCGAGCCATTTTACACCGGTAAATACCAGAGCTATCGCAAACAAATCCGATTGTCAACGAAGGGTGTTCGGTTAAAGGAAATGTACATCATTGGTTTTTGTTGTAATTTTCAGAAATGAACTATTTGGGGGGTTAGTATAATAGATCAAATGTTGGTACACTGACATGTTTGAAGTTTTGTGTTCGAAAATGCTGGAAAAACCAAGCAAAACAAAAAAGATTCAAGTAGTCTGGTTCCCTGACTCCACTAAAGATGAAATGGATAAAAAAAATACCGGGAAATTGTACGGTAAGAAAAGCAGTCTAGCTGGCATGCAACCCGTTCATGAACATGGAACCAATAGCTAGCAAAACAAAATTAAGACTAAAAAAAGAAATGGTAAATTTAGAGCAGTAATTGAAAAATAGTTAGGTTTTTCCAACGGTGGTCGGCCAACCAGCGTTGGAAATGTATACAAATATACCATTTTCTTGAAAATGGCTTCACACCAGGTGCCATAATTTTGCAGGATGCTTAAGCATGTCATTTACCAACATACTAGTAAGGTATTTCGTAACAACTTGGTAGTTTTATTTTTCGATGTTTGCAAATGTTGTATTTTCCATTTAACTTGCGGAAATTTTCAGAATGAAGGGCAGAATCCTAACCTAAGATGTATATCAGAACAGTCTCATATCATTTGGTCTGAAAACATAAGGTGCGGGCTTCGGATCCGGTGAGCGGATAACAATCAAATATAATAAGCACCGGGATGACGGTACCAACTCACATATATAATGAAGCCTGGGGTGCATCCAAGTAAATAGGCCAAAAATCTGACCGCCGAGCTCATGAATAATCGTTATATTATTCTATAGAGAGTTCTGAGAGACACATGGCACTTTCCCTTCGGCCTGGACTCGGGGGCTTTCAATTCTGAGCATTTCGGATGCAATTGGGTCCGAAAGTGGCGTTATTTAGCCATGTATATTTAACCAGGAATCCTTTATAAAATGGTTACTTTTCCAGTTTCGGAAATATTATTCCATTTAAGGGTGATGTTCTTTGGGTGAGAGTTTCTCCAAAAAGTCATTGGTCAACACATGTTGATCATCATTTTCATCTGAGTTCTGAGTATTTATATAAAAAAAGGAAGTATGGGGATTTATTACTGGTATCAATGGGCATAATTACTGTCTTGGTTTACCCCAGAGAGGTTAAAATTCGTAATGTCCACTCAGTTTACTAAAAAATGCAGCGCCTAACCAACTTACCCCGGAACTAAGTTGGTTTCGATCCTAGTGAAGCGATGATCCAGGCCATGCTTTCCCTCGTTATAGCAGCTGTGACACAAGTCAAAGTCATGACACTCCAGACATTTCCAGCGTATTCCTACAACACCGTCCTCTTGGCAGCCTTTGCAGATGATATTCGGATGCTTCACTCCTAAATAACATATTTTTTATGACAATTGGCGATTATACCTCATTTACTAGGAAACCATTTTCAAGCGCGTTCCCCGAATCTATTATATAAATTGTAAACTGTTAAATGGATGGCGCAAGATATTTTTATGATTGGAGTGCGTTCCAAGCCTCACTTTTACAAATTTAAGTTATTCACATTAGAAGATTAGCAGAACTTTTATGTCATTGCTTTCATTGCTACTCGCAAGTTTCAAAAATTAAGCGTTTACCTCGCTTTCAATTTAATATGGCCGACTCGTGTATGGAGTTTATATAAACCCCTCTTCGATTCCATGCCCATTTTCATCACAAAGTTCTCCCTCCCTCCCTTTTTTAATTAAACAAACAATCAAACCAACAAAACTAGAGAAAAAACATGACTTTGAAGGTAGAGTATATCATACTCCATCATACAACAAACAATTCCTAATCTCCCGATATGTAGCACAGTTTCCTTTTTATTCCTTGTCGTTGCACCCCCCCCCCCCCCCCCCCCCCCAAGATCCGTCAATAATTATTAATGACCGATTCCATGAAACTGACTGTGATAACATATGGGGAGGGGAAATTTGCAACCAGCTGATGTCCATTACTTGCTGGAGTCGAACTGGGAGAGGTGGGGTGGGTATAATGAACATTAAAACAAATTCCGCGTCTTACCTAGCTGGGCGTTATCGTAAATCCGCAGATCGTATGTGCCGTTTGCTCCACCAGCGCGGTAGTTTGCTTTCCTGCCCGAGTCCCATCGCACCCAGATACCCGTGCCTGAAAATATATTGGGAAGTGTCTCCGATAAGCAGAAAGGCTTAACCAGACTAAAGTTTAATGCACTTTAAGATTAACAGGAGGAGAGGGACGAAGAAAAGCCGTCAGGGTGCATGTATTTGATTTTTAAATTCCGCAATTTGCGATCCGTGCGTGGTTTGTACCCAAAATAGGTTTGGGGCAATTTGAGAACATTCTACACCGCGGATACGTTATACACTTTTAATAGGTCTACACGCTTCGAACTTAACCCTGGGGCATACCTGGGACGTGAGAATTTCTTTAATTTATAGTGTTATGCTTACTACTGTCGCCGTACTGTGCAGGGACCATTTCCAGTCAGGACCTCGTACAACTCGCACCCCTATGAACATGACGGTTTCGCTCCGTATGGACAATTTGTATAGGGCTTGTATGACTTCTGCAGATTACTTACCGCTGTCCTTAGCTTGTGCAGGCACCACGGTACCTACGCAGCCCTTTCCCCCGTCCTGGTCGTCCCATTTCCAGTCAGGACCTCGTACAACTCGCACCCCTATGAACATGACGGTTTCCACTAATTCGTGCGTGTGTTTTCCACAAGCACCGCATAACCTCGTAATTCAGTTATGTGATAGGCTTCAATGCCAAATACCAACACGCAAGTTATGTTGACAAAAGCTAGTTGCAGTATACAGGGTGATTGTAGGTCCTGGCCAAATTCTGGCCTTAATTAAGGTTCAAACTACATAATCTGTAGTCATATAAAGATGTTATGAAATTATTGAGTAAATTTCATGCAAAAGGCAGTTGGTCACGACGAAGTATGGTTCCCAGTGAACCTCAGCACCTAAGCTGCCAACCTGTCCCATTATGCACCTGACCATTATGCAAGGGTTTGTTTGAAAAGCTTGAAGCTTTTTAAACAAAGGTACCATTTTTTTTTCAAATTTGCTGTTTTCTGTCAAAAACATTTTTGCAGAATTCTGCCAGAAATCGGCCAAAAAAATCTATTCTGTCAAATTTTCTGTCAAACTCGTTTTTTTAACAAAAATTCTGTCAAAGTTAGCCGAAAATCGGCTAAAACGGTCACCCTGGCAGTATATTATGTTAGATGTGAAAACAAAAATGGAAACAGTGCCTCACAAACCAAACACATCACAACAAATATAGCCTCTCCCTACTCGAACTTTAACATCCTTATGGTTGCAGACCAGTAAATCGGTCCGAAATTGCCTACGCCGGCCAAATCACGATTTGCATGCCCTCAAAATCTTCAGTATTTGAGCATACTGTGGGCCATAAACTGGAGGGTTTGTAAAAAAAATATGGGTGGAAGCCGTGCACAGGACTTGGAGCTTGCAGTTCTGTGTAATTTGGATGTACTTTGAACCCTAAAAGCGCTCTATTTTGCAATGGAGTGTAGGCATCGTTTTTCAAAATGGCGATGGGCTTCAGGACTATTTTAAGGGGTGATCATCTTCGGATGGAAGTTTCTCCTAAAAGTCATCAGTTGACCCCCGTAAATTGAAAAGAAATGAAAGGTGATGAAATAAGCTTTAATTTGATGTGCGTCTCGAACACCTTGGAGAGTTGTGAGTATTTTCCCCGAATTTCTGAAGTGGGAGCATTTACCATTGGGGTCAATGGAAGTTTATTTACTGGTCTGCAAAAAAAAAACGGAACCCAAACCCCCCAAAATATATTTCATATTTAAAAACTACGTGGCACCAAACATAATAATGGCTGGAAAGCCAATTTCATAAGCTACTTTTAGATAAAAAAATTACTGAAATTACTCATCTGTTTAAAGAATATCACCATTCAAACGCAATGACCCTAAAACCTGTTTCGTCAAACAAACAAACAAACAAACAAACAAACAAAAAAGTTTATTGTGCATTCTGACTGTTTGGAACAACAAACAAAATGACACAGAATACTTCTCCGAACAACTGTCAACAACTGTAGTACACAATATCTTTATTAACAACCTTGGTTCGGCAAACAAAATGATTTATAATATCCACTTTTTTGAAAAAGCCCGTCCTTTAAAAGGACTTTGATGAGTATTTTTTACTTTTAAACTGAGGTTTATCGCTGGTAACGTTTGAAGACAATTGTGGTATTCCAGAAATCGCATTTTTGGACGAAAAAGGTTTTGGGGTCATTGTGTTTAAATGTTGATATACTTTGAACGGATTGAGCAATTTTAGTAATTGTTTAATCTAAAAGAAGCTTATGACATTGGGTTTTCAGTCATTATTATATTTGGTGCTACATATTTTTTTAAATACGAAATATTATTTTGGGGGTTTGGGTTCCAATTTTTTTGACTCACCCTGTACCTAGAGTTAAATCTAAGATTGCCAGTAAGGCAATCCCTCGATGGATAGCTTTACATTAGGAAAAGAAATTTGACAATTCAGGTATTTCATTTAATGCTTAATTACATTCCAGTCAAACTTTTTCTTAAAAACGCTTTAATACAAATAGTATTTCCGTAACAGTGTGAAAATGAAAATCGTTCCCGCCAGTGTCCGATGTGTGCGCGCGCATTTGAGTGTTACGTTGTAAAACCTAATTGTGTCATTTTGCGGTTTTCACGAAGTAACACAGAAGTGGACTTGGGTGTAACTTCGTGGTGTCGGTGAAGATATCTTCATCGATGTTTTTAGAGCAGAGTCACGGTACAGCATTTTCGGTCGAGAGCTCCTTGCGGTGTACCTGACCATACGACACTTCACACACAATGCTTATTAGGACGTCGGTTCTGTGTCTTCACTGACCACAAACCACTCACTCACGCTCTGCATTCCAGGCCTGACTGACACTCACCTCGTGAGATCCGTCATCTAGACTACATCTTACAATACGCCTCAGACATCCGCTACATCAAGGACACCGATAATTTAGTCGCTGATGCGCTGTCCCGTCCCGATATCACTCAGTCTTCGAGGACACGATTGATTTCACACAGATCGCTGCCGATCAGAAGGGGGAGGAAGAGATTGCAGGCTTGCAAAATTCCACTTCCAGCCTCATCCTCAAGAACCTCCCTTTTCCCACAACCGATGGCACTATACTATGTGACGTTTCCACAGGGAATCCACGTCCAGTCCAACCTCGATCGTCCCCAGGGTGTCGAGCAGTACGCGCCCACCACTACCTGCTCTCTCACCCTAGTATTGGATCATTTGCATGTGCAAGATTTTTGAACACGTATGCAAATGAGGAACAGTCTGGTGCCTGAATATGCGTTACACATTAGCGTTTGTTTTTGTATGCGGTGTCTGGGGTAAAAACAGAGTCAATTCGTAGCAGCGCGAGCACGGCGTGAGTTACGAAAACACGATTTTTGAAATCAAACTGTTACGATCTTGTCGAGACAACATGCAGTATCATATTTCATATTAATATGAGCAAATTGGAAAGGAAATTAGTATTTTCGAGAAGGCGTGGACGAATGATCGCGAAAACACGTACTGCACGTTGTGAATAATAGCACCAAGTACACGATAAAAATCCATTAATAGTTAATTGCGATATCCAATAAGGATACAGGAAGAAAGTTTCCTATCCAGGGTTTACTATTGGAAACGCGGTTGGAAATAAAGTAAGCACTGGGGACGAGGTTGCGTCCAGTCATCACTGCGAGACACAGACGGCCTGTGTTCAATGTCCTCCATGGATTATCTCACCCTTGCTCCAAGGCTACAGATAAACTCATCACAGCTCGCTATGTGGGGCCAGGTGTTAAGCGTGATGTCGGACAATGGGCTCGTGCGTGTTCTCCTTGCCAACGTTCGAAGGTTCATCGACATACCAAAGCACTATACTTGGCACCTATCAGACGCCTGATGCCCGTTTCCAACACGTCCTTATCGATCTTGTTGGACCACTGCCCACATCCAAAGGTCATTCATATCTCCTCACCTGCATCGATAGATACACACAATGGCCAGAGGCAATTCCTATCAGTGATATCACAGCAGAGACTGTCGCTAAGGCACTCATTGACCGCTGGATCGCTGTTTTTGGAACCCCTGCAACCAGTGGCGTAGCCAGGAATTTTTCAGTGGGGGGGGGGCCGCTGGGGGGGCTGGAACATTTCATGGGGGGGGGCGTCATGCAGGGGCGTCAATCGCTTCTCAAAAGTGGGGGGGGGGGCGGACATACCTTGATCAGAACTGATGCGAGCGCAAAGCCCTTAAATTGATTCTAGATGTTCTGTGGTGTGATCTGAAGCAATTTCTTACCACTTTCCTTCATGCATTAACTAATATTTTCTTAGCAAAAGATAATTATTTGAACATCGTTTTCGGGGTTGGAGTCATTGAATCAGCTATCGGTATTCTGAGCTATAGGCGTGGGGTTCGGGGCCCGCTTAAGGGCCCCGAAAAAATTGGATACTCGATGCTCTGTGGCGTGATCTGAGGCAATTTCTTACCACTTTAACCAATAATTATCTTAGCACAAAAGATAATAATTTAAACATAATTTTCGAGGTTTTCTCAGCTAAAGGCATAAGAACATTTTTTGAACATTGTTTTCGAGGTTGGAGTCATTGAATCAGCTACCAGAATTCTGAGCTTTAGGCGTGGGGTTCGGGGCCCGCTTAGGGACCGTGACCATTCAGCCCTGGTATGAAAATGGCCCCCGGTACCCCGTCCGGTCCAAAACCAGTCCGGTCTTCAGCCCAGTCTCGTCCGGTACATGGTCCTGTCTGACCAGAAGTTTTGAAGTCAGTCAGGCGCATCAATTTATTGCCCTTCAGAGCACGTCCAGAGCAGAACAATAGCAGACTTACCGGATTAAAGATAAAATCCTTCCATAACGCCTTGGTAATTTACGGTCCCATTGTGCGCGAAACCCCATGGCAGGGGTTTTGATCTGTGCCGACAAAAGTGTTCTATTGTTTCGCGCTGAGAGATGAAAACCACAAGCGGGTTTCTTCTGGCATATATTACATGTGTCAATACTTGCAAACAATATACCCCAGGATAGAGGAGTTCCTGATTAGCAACCGGACCAGCTCCTGGGCCGGTAGCTGGGACGGTATGAGAGGACTTCTTGGAAGGGGACGAGCTTACCGGGGGGCCCTTTTCATACCGGGGCTGCATGGTCACGGGCCTTTAAGGGCCCCGAAAAATTTTGGATTCTAAATGCTCTGTGGTGCTATCTGAGGCAATTTCTGATCACTTTAACCAATATTTTTTAACAAAAGATACATTGTAGTACATAATAGGGCCCTGTAAATGAGACACGAGTTAAAAAATCTGGGGGGGGGGGACATTTGATATTGTGCCCCCCACCCTTTGACGCCCATGGCGTCATGTAGATCATTGATAATTTTTTTTAGAAACTCAAAATCTCAGTGGGGGGGGGGGGGGGGGGCGACAAGGTTTCATGGGGGGGGGCGCCCCCCCCCCCCCAACGCACCCCGGTGGCTACGCCACTGCCTGCAACTATCACTACCGATAGGGTATAATGCGAGTCAGCACTGTTCACCAACCTCACGAGACTTGCTGGGCCGGCACTACCCGCACCAAAACTACTTCCAACCACCCGCTGCCCCACGGTGTTGTCGAACGCTTCCATCGTCAGCTCAAGGGATCACTGAAGTCCCATCTCGATCCTTCT